ATTTCCATGTATTATTTTCAACTTTATCTTGAGATAGAAGATTTAATTTTTCTCGAAAATTAAAAGAACACTACACAAAGAGCCAGGATAACTGATATTCCAAAAGAAAGATTCATTGTTTTCACCAGTCTTAGGTTTCTACTGAAACATTTAGGCGTCGAATGTCGCTGTGGACCGAGCGCCGGCGATCGGCTTATAACTGAAAGCTTTTTTTAGAATACCATTTACCAGCTGTCTGTGAGCATCTATAGGGTCAGATTTTTAATCTAGGCAGAATTTACAAAACAGTCATCAGACCAATAATGACATATGTTGCACAAACAAGACTTGACACAAAGTGGACAAAAAGGATATTAGAAAAAGCAAAGATGAAAACACTTTGAAAAATAGATGGTAAGGCACTATGGGACAGAGCTAGAAGTACAGATATGCGGCGTAGAAGCAAGGTGGAGAACATTAAAAATTGGGTAAGATATAAAAGAGTAGAATGAAATAATCAATATATGCCGAATGAAAATAAATAGAGTTGTAAAGATGGCAAGAGCCGGTTCCCCAATAGGAAGACGATTAGTAGGAAGTCCACGAAAACGATAAAATGACAACTTACTGGAGGCACATTGAAAAACAGACAGAGTCGCGTCTATATAAAAAGAAGAAAAAGAAGAGAAGAAGCGCTAAACAGAAAACCCTTTTATTTCCATGTATTATTTTCAACTTTATCTTGAGATAGAAGATTTAATTTTTCTCGAAAATTAAAAGAACACTACACAAAGAGCCAGGATAACTGATATTCCAAAAGAAAGATTCATTGTTTTCACCAGTCTTAGGTTTCTACTGAAACATTTAGGCGTCGAATGTCGCTGTGGACCGAGCGCCGGCGATTGGCTTATAACTGAAAGCTTTTTCTAGAATACCATTTACCAGCTGTCTGTGAGCACCTATAGGGTCAGATTTTTAATCTAGGCAGAATTTACAAAACAGTCATCAGACCAATAATGACATACGCGGCAGAAACAGGACCTGGCACAAAGTGGACAAAAAGGATGTTAAAAAAGCAAAGATGAAAACACTTTGAAAAATAGATGTTAAGACACCATGGGACAGAGATAGAAGTACGGATATGCGGCGTAAAAGCAAGGTGGAGAACATTACAAATGGGGTAAGAAATAAAAGAGTAGAATGAAACAATCATATATGCCGAATGACAATAAGTAGAGTTGTATGGATGGCAAGAGACGGTTCCCCAAAAGAAAGACGATTAGTAGGAAGTCCACGAAAACGATAAAATGACAACTTACTGGAGGCACATTAAAAAACAGACAAAGTCGCGTCTATATAAAAAGAAGAAAAGAAGAGAAGAAGTGCTAAACAGAAAACCCTTTTATTTCCATGTATTATTTTCAACTTTATCTTGAGATAGAAGATTTAATTTTTCTCGAAAATGAAAAGGACACTACACAAAGAGCCACGATAACTGATATTCTAAAAGAAAGATTCATTGTTTTCACCAGTCTTAGGTTTCTACTGAAACATTTAGGCGTCGAATGTCGCTGTGGACCGAGCGCCGGCGATTGGCTTCTAACTGAAAGCTTTTTCTAGAATACCATTTACCAGCTGTCTGTGAGCATCTATAGGGTCAGATTTTTAATCTAGGCAGAATTTTACAAAACAGTCATCACACCAATAATGACATACGCTGCAGAAACAGGACCTGACACAAAGTGGACAAAAAGGATGTTAGAAACAGCAAAGATGAAAACACTTTGAAAAATAGATGGTAAGACACCATGGGACAGAGATAGAAGTACAGATATGCGGCGTAGAAGCGTGGAGATGCGTGGAGAACATTAAAAATTGGGTAAGAAATAAAAGAGTAGAATGAAACAATCATATTTGCCGAATGACAATAAATAGAGTTGTAAAGATGGCAAGAGCCGGTTCCCCAATAGGAAGACGACTAGTAGGAAGTCCACGAAAACGATGGAATGACAACTTACTGAAGGCACATTGAAAAACAGACAGAGTCGCGTCTATATGAAAAGAAGAGAGGAAGCGCTAAACACACATCCCTTTTATTTCCATGTATTATTTTCAACTTGATCTTGAGGTAGAAGATTTTATTTTTCTCGAAAATATAAAGGACACTACACAAAGAGCCGGGATAACTGATATTGCAAAAGAAAGATTCATTGTTTTCACCAGCCTTAGGTTTCTACTGAAACATTTAGGCGTTCGAATTTGCTGTGGGCTGAGCGCCGGCGACTGGCTTATCGCTGAAATCTTTTTCTAGAATATCCTTTACCAGCTGTCTGTGAGCATCTATGGGGTCAGATTTTTAATCTATGAAGAAGGACAAATTGAAACTAAAATTTACTTGATAATTGAAATTGAAACTAAAATTTAATATTATTAATGACGAAATAAAAAGAAAGTGCTTTAAATAAGGTATAAATTTCCAATTATCAAACATAATAAATCACAAAATTTTTCAATGTATTATGTCCAAAGTGACAATGTGATGCAACAAATAATGCCAAAGATATACATTAAAGATTTAAGGTAGAAGTAGAGCTGAAAAATTAACAAACAAGAAAAGAAATTCAGCGATATAGAAGACTCAGTTATATAGAGGAAATAATTTACTCAAAATTTCTTGATCTTATTACTGAAACTTTTTGCTAGAATACCATGTATTAGTTGTCTGTGAGTATCTATAGGGGTAGAGTTTTAATCTAGGAAGAAAGGCAAATTAAAACTTTTTTTATAATGCCTAAAATAAGGTAATACAAGATCAGAGAAGTGTGTACTAGTAATAAGCAACGAAAACGATATGCAATAACTCTTAAACCGCTTCATCAAAACCAACAAGTACTTTAACTTAATAATTTCCAATAATCAAACATAATAAAGTACAAAACCTTCTAACTTGAATATATTTTTATATTTAAAGTGACACCGTAATTAAAACACAACGAATAATGAACTAGAAAATGTATATCAAAGATATAAGGTAAAAGTAGATCTGAGAAATAACTAACAAGGAAAGACATTCTAATATTTTAAGCATTACGTTCGATATATATTTAAAATTACATCTTTATCGTTTTTGTTATGTGTTGAATGTTGCTATGGACCGAGCACTGCTGAGTGCTGACTGATTTTTATTCCAGAATAAATACTACTCGTATTTACCAAAGCCGCACGCAAACATGTTTTTAGGAAGACATCTATATTTTAATTTGGCAAAGGAAGATAAGTTAAACCTTATTATAGGGAATATATTAAATACGTATTTCTGACTCATTGGTCGTCATCAGTACGGTGTAGCCAACTAATAATAGCTGAGACAAGTTAATAAAAAGGGTGAATGATTAAGTATATATTTTTCAAAAATAAAAAAAGACTTGACTTAATAGCAAAACTTGTGCAAAACGGATTTATAACATTTATTAAAAAGATGCTAGGCAACCGCAAATACGTATTTACTAATATTATGCAGCTTTTTTGCAGTTGTTTTTCAGCTAGGGCTTCATTATTCATGTTCATTGGTCTTTTTAACTAAACCACACTATAAAGAGGTTTACGATTTACGAAGTAGAAATTGAAACGTCAGTAAACGTACTTTAACCTTTAATTGTGGCTTATTCCCATTTAAATAGTAATTACTTTAAAATGCCACAAGAAAATAGCTTCAGATACATTTATTTCATTATGCTCTAATGACGTACCTATACATAAGAATATTGGAATTTACTATAAATTAATGAATTGTTAAGTATTTGTACCTTTGTTCATAATAAAACAAAAAACTTTTTTTTAATTTTTTTAAAAATTTAAAGGTAAGATATTAAAATTATAAAATAAAGTCACTGAGGACTTAAAACTTAAACAACAATATGATATTTTAAGTTGGGGATTTAAAAACATAGTACAAAACAAAAAATAATTTCATAAGAGGCAATAACAACTATGTTGTTAGTTAATAGCAGAGATATGTATATCACTTGTTAATAGTGATAACAAAAATACAACTTCTTACTACATCGTTCCTTTTTGTAGGCAACTAACAATACACATTTGTATAGCCTTTTCATAAAAGACAACTCAAGCGACGCTTGGCTTTGGCACAGAATAATAAACAATCAGAAAGGCATCTCAGATGCCGCCTTTGAAGTTTTTCAGCACGCGCGCCATGTTTTAGGAGGACACAGACATATGATTTGTGTGGTTATGTAATTGTTTATATTTATGTTTAATTATATTATATTTATGTTATTATATTTAACAATGTTAATATAATTGTATAGTATGCAATGACGTATAATATATAGACTCGGTGAACGCTTTAAAAAGTGTCCAAAACATGAATACCTTTGTTATTGTTTATTGTTTGATACGAAGATGCACGAAGTTCATGATTTCTCACGAAGCATCACGAAGTTGATCTTGTGTTTTGAAAACATCATGGACGTACTCCATTTTGTGTGACAAGCAAATTTTATTTTAAATTGTTGATGGTTATTTACTTACTATTTTAGTAAAATGCCATACTATTTTATCAAAATAATTATTTCTCTTATAGACGGGAACAAAAAGAAATCATAAATATTTAATTTTAATTAAAAAAATAATTATTGTCATTAACATATAAATGAGCACGCCGCTGTTGTGATAAACATACCTTCAACCTTGAGCCGAGATCTTTCGGACACTTGATTCTATAGCGAGAATAGGGGACTGCGTAGTCTATATATTATACGTCATTGATAGTATGTCTATGATTGCCATAAGTCAAATAAACCTGGTTAATTTTTCCATGCACACCACATAAACAATACTAATTTCTTTAAAATCCTCCTAAAACATGGCGGAACGTCTGCGCGGAGGAGATGCGCGTACTTAATTTTCCGTGGAGAGTGGGTATTCTGTTTGTTTATTATTCTGTGGCTTTGGCTTGCAGTAGTTCAAATGCACATTTAAATCCCTGTGTCAAACGTCAAAAAAATCTTTTATATTTTGATTTTTCATGTAAATAATAATAAATGATCACATAAAAACTCTAAATGACTAAATACCTATTAATTAAATTTTAAAATGGTCGGAGTCGTAGCAGTACATTGTGGTAATACTTTAAATATAATTATATACATTCATTAATGTTCGATGTTTAATTATGTTCTTAATTAATTATTAACAAAATGAAGTGACTAATTTTCTCTAATTGTTGCTATATTTTAGGAGCTGGTTCACACAGTAAATCCTTGTGTTTAGATTATAAGAAACTATGCAATAAAGCATGTAATAAGGCCATAGAAGTTTTAGCTGCTGATGGAACTGCATTAGAAGCTGCAAAAGTAGCAGTTATGGGTAAGTATTTCTTAAATTACTATAAATTTGTATATAATATTAAGTTTATAGTAATAGATGTTAATTATAATGCAAATTATGATCTTTTCTATACATGTACATGCACTTTAATCAAACACATTTAACCCCATGTGCACCAAACTGGTACACAGCATGGTTTTACTAGGGACTGTGCATACCAATTTGGCTCACCCTATTATTGTGTTTAAACGTGGCCACAGTATGTTTGGTCTGAGACAAAAAAAGACATCAATGCTTTTGTGGCTGAAGTGTCAAGCTACTTTCTACACTTTCCATTTTCCTATTCTTGGAATTATTTCCTAAAACACTGTAAAGAAAATTTCGGTTTACTCATTTAAACTATTTATTCAATTGAATATATATTTTTAAAATAATTCATAAATTAAGTACATAGAATAATTATGATGTTTTTTAAAAGAGTTGGAAATTTAAAAGACCTTTTAAAATATCTCATGTGATAGAGTTTTAGCTCGAAAACTATTTCAAAAGATTAACATGTATATTCTACTTGGAATTATATATATGCCACAGACATTTATCAGTACTCCACCACTCTACTACTTCTGGATTTATGTTATGTGTAAATTAAAATGAATATATTCATATATGCTTTTTATTAGTTTTAGAGGATGATCCGCTAACAAACTGTGGTTTTGGTTCCAACCTTAACACTTCTGGTATTGTTGAAAACGATGCATCCATAATGGATGGCAAAACTCTGTCCTTTGGAGGCTGTGGTTGCATAAAAAAAGTCAAAAACCCTATTACCCTTGCCTACGACATATGCATCAAACAATCTGAACCGAGACCCATGGGTCTGATCCCGCCATCTTTGCTAGTAGGTCAAGGTGGTTTAGACCATGCTAGGCAAGCTGGATTAAAAATTGTGAAACAAAGTGATCTCATTAGTAAAAAAGCTTTGAAACAATTCAACAAATATAAGAAAATTTTGGATGGTTTTGAAGCCCATGAAGAACTTTTGGATACAGTTGGGGCTATTTGTATTGATGGTGGTGGAAATGTTGCCTCAGCTTGTAGTTCAGGTAAGAAATTTTGGAAATATATAGACTTCCATTTCTTCCATTTTTTTTAAGATATAAGTTTCAAGTAACAAAAAGAAAGCCACTGATTTCTCCTGTTGCTTTATCAGTATACTGGGTATTTCATCAAAAAGTATCTGAAATAAGTATATTAGTTGGGGTGAAGATATAGGTCGATCACAAATAATTGAGAAATTTAAAGAGATAGACCAATTTGAGTACAAGTGATACCGATCAATGCTTAGATCAAATGACATCTGTTTTAATAGTTCCTCTTTAATATTTTGCCTTGTTACAGGATAGTATTCAGAAAAACGCAAAAATAATTACTGTAAAATATAATTTCAATAGCTACAATTATAAATATTATAACTGTTAGGTCTATTTAATCAAAATAATGATTTTATTTACGCTACTGCTAAAAGTTGCCGATGTAAGCCCCTTTTTATACCTATCATTAAAAGTTTATAAGTTTATGACTCCTCTTACTTGATTGTCGGGTTCTTGTCACAGCCCTGCTGTGCTGACCAAGGTTTTTAAATTTCCACGAAATTCTAAACGACCGATAACAAGACGTGACTTTCGGTATTGTGATACATATAATTTTTAGTTTAAACTCTGTAAAGAGAACACGCATTTATTAGTGACGATTTCGCTATCAGAAAAATAGTAAGTAAATAAAAATGTGGCGTCCATGGGAGAATAGTGCATTAGAAATTGTTGAGAATAATGAAGTAGAAATTGTTGAAGAAAATAAGGAAATTCTACTACCAAATAATCCTGAAAATGTTGCTGGACCAAGTGGAAAAAGTATTAAAAAGTCAGAAAAAAAACATTTATCGAAAGACGCTAAAGAAATTGTGTTAAATGTGTTTAATGGATTATGTAAAGAATTGGAACGGCACGCGAGTGTTTTAAAAACTGCGGCTTTAACAAAAGTTTCATGTGCTACTGTTTATCGAATCATAAAGGAGGGCATTACAAATAGACAAAAAAGGAGCGACTTTGGACGACATCGATCTATTGAGCAACATGTTTTAGGTCCCATTTCAGAAACCATTTATAATATGTTTGCAGGTAATATTATACCCACACTAAACCAAATTTTAGCTGAATTAAAATCTAAAAATATTATTAATTGTAGTAAATCAACTTTAAGAAAATTTTTACTTTCAAATGGTTTTAAATATAAAACAATCAATAAACGACATACTATAATGGAAAGTGCCCGTTTAATAAAATGGCGTAATGAATATTTGGAAAAGATAACCGAGTACAGAAATAGCGGAAGAAAAATTTATTACTTAGATGAAACGTGGTTTGACACTAACGAAACAATTGGAAAAGGTTGGAGTAATGACAACGTAAAGTGCAAAGTTAATGTTCCAGCTACCAGGGGCAAACGAATATGCATTTTACATTGTGGAGGGGAAGACGGTTGGGTAACCGATGGCTTACTATTAAGTGCAAAAGATATTAAAGACAGTTGTTTGGACTATCATCAAGATATAACGGGTGAACTTTTCGAATCGTGGTTTAAAAATAAGTTATTACCAAATTTAGCAGACAACAGTGTTATTGTTTTAGATAATGCATCATATCATTCTAGACAACTTAAAAAAATTCCAAATAAATACTCTAGAAAGGATGAATTGCAAGATTTTTTATTATCACAAGATCTATATTTTGAAGATTGCTACACTAAAGACCAATTAGTAGAGGTACTTAATACAAAATTATTTGTAAAGGAATATATTATTGATGATGTAGCAAGTAAAAATGGACATACAACTTTAAGATTACCACCATATTACTGCATTTTAAATCCAATAGAGTTGTTATGGTCTCAACTGAAATATAATGTGAGACAAAAGAATGTAAGTCCAAAATGTTACAACACTGTCGTGAAACTAATAGATTCTGAATTTAAAAATATCTCTGAGGATAACTGGAAGAAAGCAATAGAGCACGTAAAAAACATTGAAAAAGAATATCTTAAAAACATTCCTGTTTTAAAACAAAATTATTATCAATGTGGAGAACAGTGATTCAGAGGAAGAAAGTGACGAAGTATAATACCAAGACAACTTTCTCTCAATACTGAGCTTACCCGGAATATTTTCTTACATAATCAGATGTAGGGATTATCGACATATATTCAACACCAAACTACTGCTTCAATTTTTTAAGAAAAACGTGGCCTTATTATGAAAATCAGTTCTTAGGAGAAAATATAATGTAAGTAAGTGTTGACTAGATAAACTTTTAATTTTTACATCAAGGTTTTATAAATTATTTAAATATATATTTTTTTCTTTAACTACCTACCGTTCGCTCAATTATTAATTAGTTTTTGTATACAAACCAATTATTGTTTGAACATTTTATAGAAAATGCATTGCAGAAATATGATTAAAGTAATTTAAACTTACACAAAATCATCAAGACATAAAATTAATCTTTGTTTATAACAATAGAAATTTCTTATTTCAATTTCTTATAAAATATACCATATTGTTTCGTGTGGGTAGGTACTACCCTGTTATTCACCAGTCATGGTGCTGGTTGTCGCATTTTTCTCAAATAAATATAAACGACCTATACCTGTCATTTAATGCATGATATTTGTCTAAATTTCAAGCAAAAAAAAATAAGTATGTAGTTCTTTGGCAAATGGAAAAAGTCTAATATTGTTCAGCTTTTAAATACATTTACTTGGAAAAGAAAACAAATGCAAACTGAGCTTGTACACAGAATCATACAGAAACCTTTGTATATGAAAAACTTAACAATGCAATTGATTCTGTTTCAACATAAAACATATTTGTACAACTGTTGAAACATTTCAACATGCTGGAAATGAAGGAAAGATTAAAGAAGTGAAGGAAAAGCGTCAAAGGCCCACCGGAAAAAGATAAGGAAGCATGTAAAGCATGTCATTAAGCATATTGAGCATAAAGAAAACTGCATTGAAAAATAAAAGGAAAATAAAAAAGTCAATCATCAATAAAAAAATCAGAGTAATTTTCATAGTTATTTCACTTTAAAATCATTTTGTTGATAACCCTATAGACTCTTCCATATAACTTATTGAAGCTTGATCTTTTATTTTATATTTTATAGTTTTGTTGATATTTGTCTTTTATAGGTGGACTTCTTTTGAAAAAGCCAGGCAGAGTAGGCCAAGGAGCTCTATTTGGTTGCGGAACATGGGCAGACAGTTCAGACCATAGCAAAGAACCAGCTTTGGCAGTTTGTACATCAGGCTGTGGGGAACATTTAGTCCAAACCCTTCTGGCCAGAGAAATAGCTTTAGATTTGAAAACAAGTACCTGCCCAACTGTAGATCTACATAAAACCATGACTGACAAATTTATGAACTCCAAGTTTTTAAAGAAAGTTAAGAATAAAATGGGTGGGGCGTTGGTTTTACACAGGGATAATGTAACAGGAGATGTGGTGATATTATGGGGACATAGCACTGAGAGTATGGTTGTTGGGTATATGGGAACAGACGATAAAAAGTCAAAGGTGAGACAGTTTTTTTTTATTTTTATGATATACAAGAACAAAGTGAAAAGTTTTTAAGTGGGAAACTTAGAAAACAATAGTTTTTATATTAATGTTGAATTAATATTACAGAAAATTGTTAATTACTGTTATTTCAGACTTTTGCTCAACTTATTTTTCTCTTCATGTGAGACAATGTTAATTGGAAACTTTCAGTACTTATAAACAAAAAATGTTAACAAATAATATGATGGCTGCTATTTATATTTCTGGCCTAGGCAACACTAAGTACTGACATCTAACACTCTCACTGGAAAGTTTGATATGTTTAAGCATATTCGCACTCAACACACTCAGAACATTTACATTGGCTTGAAAAATTTATCTCGCCATCAAATGCAATTGAATCGTGAATACTTTCGTGCGATAATTTATCATAACTTTCAACGTACATTATCAAGACAAGAGTGCATCGATGAACTTAAATCGTTATATCTGGATCAAGGATCATCCTTAACGCCTTAAAAAAATGGTATAATTAATTCAATCGTGGTTCGGCGCTCTCTTCAGGAAGAATTCTGTGAAGGTCCCCAAAATCGGCTGTTATACCAGAAGCCATGAATTGATGGAGCAAGATCGTCATGTGGCATACCGTTAGATTGAGGCATCCTTGGACATTAGTATGATAGGAATTAATAAGATATTGCATGAATATTTGGCTGTAAAAAAGATTTGTTCACATTGGATCCCACATAATCTGACAAAAGGTCAAAAAGGACACAAAGGGCTCGTGTTAATTGCTGTGTATAAAAGCTATACAAGTGATGAAACATAGATCTATGCATATAAGAAAGAAACAAAACAGTAATCGACCGTATGGGTGTTTCAAGATAAACCAAATCCAAAAAAAGTTGTTCGTGGAAGAACCACATCGAAACAAATGGTCGCTTCTTTCTTTGGTATAAATAGTCATGTAGCTACAGTGCCGTTACCAGAACATAATATGCTTAATTCTGAATGTTATACTACCATTTTGTTTGACAGAAGTTTTTAGTGAAATTGGAAAAAAGTATATAAGAGCGAATCATTCTTCATCACGACAATGCAAGCTCACACACAACGGAGTTTTTGACCGGCCCAAACATCGAATTAACGAGCCATCCGCTGTACAGTCCTGATTTGGCACCCAATGACGAAAATAAATTGCGCGGTGAACGATTTTAGACGCCCAAAGAAGCGGTTGAAACGTTCAAAACCTATGTTTTGGAGTTACATCAATCTGAGTGGAAAAAGTGCTTCGAAAATCATGCAAAAGTGTATTGATTTTCATGAAGAATATTTTGAAAAGCAATAAAGTCATTTCCGACCATACTTAAATACTTGTTTCATTGTTAGGCCAAAAATATAAACAGCTACTACTCGTAGTAGTTTTTGTATTATTTTAATTTGAATTTTAGCTGCCTCGTATATAATTAATTTTTTGTTATGGAAGTAATATTAGATTACATTTTTTTTTCAGAGTTTTATGTCCGTACTACCTCAAAATGTTAGACCAGGAGAAGCAGTCAATGTAGGTGGATCACATTTTTACAACATGGAGGACTCGATTCTGAAAATGACTTGAATCGTTTGAATTTTGACGATGATTTTTATTATTGTGATATTATTTAATTTTTTTTTAATAAATAAGTATCAAACACTTTCGTCTTTTCTTAATATATTCAATATTACTCTTTCTACTTAATTGTTTTGTATGCACTGAGAAGAATTAAGGTAAGAATATCCAGTTTCTCACGTTTTGTATGTTATATACGATCCTTGCTCATATTATTAGACTCAGAAAATTCTGGTTTTCTTTGTTTCAAAGTCAATTATAATTATAACTATGTTAGCTATATAAGAGGATTATATAAATGATAATATTAACCTTTTATTATATTTATTGAACAAAAATTGATATAAATTCTAATATTTTGTTAAGCCACCCTTGGCTTTAAGAAGTGCAGCCACTCTTCCAGGCATGCTATCTATTCGTCTTAACAAGTTTCCATAAAAACTGATCCTCTCTATCAACTGAACCTTGTTCGTCATTATTTTCTTTGCCAATTTCCGTTTTAGTCACTCGGAGGAATTTCTAGCCCTATCTTCATAAGAAAGATAGTAAAGAGGGTATCAAAAACTTCTTCTTCTTCTTCAAGTTCCACTCCTATCGGAGATTGGAAATCATTCTGGCAATTATAATTTTATTGGTTACTCGCCTGAATATAATGAAATAGCTGAAAATAAGCTGGGTCGACAGAGTTAGAAATGAGGAGGTCCTTAGACGGCTGAACCAAACAACACAACTGGTCAATATAATAAAGAAACGCAAGCTGGAATACTTCGGTCATATTATGAGACACCCTGAAAAATATGATCTTTTACATCTGATCATTCAGGGAAAGATCCAAGGTAATCGTGGTCCTGGTAGAAGAAGAACATCATGGCTGAAAAATCTAAGGCAATGGTATGGAAAATCAACTACATCGTTATTTAGAGCTGCTGTCAATAAAGTCACGATAGCGAATATGGTAGCCAACATGATATCCAACGATCGATAACGGTCATGGAACTAGAAGAAGAAGAACTCGCCTGAATAGTTCAATTGAACTGCATCCAAACCACTCACGGTGATTGCGTAGCCACGAGATTTTACGTCTTCCTACGCTTCTTCTACCTTTGATTTTACCCTGCATTATATTCCTTAGTAGTTCGTACTTTTCACCTCTTATGATGTGCCCCAAGTATTCCAATTTCCTGATCTTTATGGAATTTAAAACTTCGCATTGTTTTCCTAGTTGTTCGAGAACTTGTTCGTTTGTTTTGCGATCCATCCATGATATTTTCAAAATACGTCGGTAACACCACATTTCGAATGCTTCTAGGTTTTTAATGTTGGATTTTTTAAGATGATATTTATCAAAAACTACAGATCTATAAGTCTACTACCAATCATATACAAGATATTCACAAACATCATCAACAGATTAAAAAACGCATTAGATGTTGCACAGCCTAGAGACCAAACTGCCTTGAGAGTAGGATTCAATACCATGTATCATATTCATACACTTCAAGAACTAATGAGTAGAGCTAAAGAATATGAAATACCTCTGCATACTCAGCCTCATACCGCTTTAACCTTTAAGGTACTACCTGCTAAGATTTCGAGAAGGCTTTCTATTCTATGTATCCCAAGGCAGTAATAAAAGCTTTGACAAACCGTACATAGAAACTTTATCAAATATATACAGACAAGCAAAAGCTAAGGTAAAAATGTATGAAAACACTCCAGAATTTCCCACTACCAAAGGAGTCTGATAAGTAGACGCAATATCATCAAAGCTCTTCACTGCAACTCTAGAAAATCATCATCATCATTCTGGCTTTACAACGCTGCGTGGGTCCTAACCTCCTCAAGAATTTCTCTCCAGTCGTCCCTATCCATCGCCTTTCTCCGTCAAGCACGTATTCCCATATTCCTCAATGTCTTCATCGATGTTATCAAGGAACCTTGTTCTAGGTCTTCTTCTCTGACCAATGGGTCTATCAAGGAGCGTTTTTCTAGCTGGGTCATTTTGTTCCAACCGCATTACATGTCCTATCCACCTCAGACATCCTATCTTAATATGTTTTACGATATCAGGTTCCTGATATATTCTATAAAGTTCGAAGTTGTATCGTCTTCTCCACACTTCATTGTCATTCACTGCTCCATAAATTTGCCTTAGTACTTTTCTTTCGAAACATATTAACATGTTCATTATTTTTGTTGAGTCAGGTCTCTGAACCATATGTTAGGACTGGGCGTATTATTGGTTTGTAGAGTTCTATTGTCTTTCTCGGTATAATTGTGGATTTTAAGAGGAGATTGAGTCCAAAATAGCATCTGTTGGCCGTGCAAATTCTGCGGTAGTATTATTTTCAGTGTTAAGCCGCGAGCTTGCGAAGCCGTCAGCTACGGGAGAGTCCTGAACCCCTTAGTATAGCCGCTGCTAATAAAACAGCGCTGAACATAGAGCCTCGATTCCTTCAGACCATGCAGACCCGATATCCAGGGAAACAGATTTGCATGGCACCTTTAATCATGGGAGCTCGCGGAATATAGTGCCAGTCGACTTCTCGTGTCATGAGAATTTTAAACCTTTCAAGGTTCGACACCCGCAATTTGATCGCAAAGGGCAATTCAGGTGTATCATATTCATAGTCATTTTATGAGATCCTAACATAAATGACATGAGAATTTTATTTTCGAGTATTTCATAGGCTTTTCATTAGCCAAATATTTCATGCTATATATTGGGACATTGCTAAATGTCCCAATTTTTTTTACTATTTTATATTTACCTTTTTATTACTATTTTTAAAACTTTTATGATAACACCTTTTTGTTATCAAGCTTATTTTTCTAAGCCTGCGATAGAGCGTTTGTCAGATTTTCGTTACAAGGGGGGGGGGCGTTTACAAGAGGAAAATGTAAAGGTAGTAGGGGCAAAAATATTATTAGACAGGAATGCCATCTTGAGAGGCCACATTAAACAAGGAAAGAGAGTATTTCCTTGTTTAAGAAATCAAATTTAGTTGGGTTATGTTATTGTTTGTCCCAACTGCCACATGAAATCTTATTTATATTGAAGTGTTTTTAACAATTGTGTCACATTTTAGACTGCTATCGTTAATATTTATTTAAAGTTTCTCGTCTAAGACACATTCTGAAAACTATTTTATAGCTACTGTTAATAAGTGTCGGAAGATTTAAATTTGGCGCATTCACACTTCCGGATATGTCCGCCATCAGAGGCCACTTTATTGGTCGTCTTTTCATAACGATTAGATTCACTCTTTTGTCTTTTTGGTCGATTGGTTGGACTCATGCACGATAAGAATGGCCAAAAAGGGCCATACGCTGCTGGTCTGTTACTTTCCGGATCGGAGCGGAGAGAAACACACCAGCAGGACTAGGCGGGTTTTGGATGACGGGGGTTTGGTTGCGTGATGATCGTAGCCACCCAGCCGGCATCGCCCGGCCTGCATACCAAAAGAGGTTATGGCTCCACTCTGAGCGCTCCAAGGTATACAAATCCGTTCACTGCTTCGCTCAGAAAAATGAAACTAGCTTGGATATCTTTTGTTAGAAAGGCAGTTATATTCAAATCGAATATGCCAATTCACCTGAAGAAAAAATCATTCTATCAGTGTATACTACCAATCATGACATACGGCTGCAAAACTTGGACACTAAAGAAAGAAATAATATTAAAACTCAAAGGTCAATGGAGCGATGCATGCTTAGGTATAACAAAGAGTGATGGAAAAAGAATAGAATGGATCGAACAGAAAACCAAGGTTACTGATGTAATCCATAGAATTAAATCTTTAAAATGACAGTGAGCTGGACATTTAGCGAGTAGAATTGACAATAGGTGGTCCACACATTATGGTATCCAAGAGGCGTCAAGAGACCAAGAAGACGTCCAAATTTAGATGGCACTATGACATAAGGAAACAAGCCGATACAACATGGCACAGAAAAGTGAATTTTAGACAATCGTGGGCAGATATGAAGAATAAATATGTAATGGAGGCTACACCATAATCGGCAGAATATGCTGAGAATGATGATGATCATTTGAACAGCTCAAACTGGATTTACTGTAATATTTTCTTTTATTTATATGCATGAGGGTACTAAGGAATACTAAAATGAGTTCGTTTGCTAATTTCTTACTGCAAATAAGAGTTTTATTGTTGGGTGGGCTACAGAAACTTATTCAAAAATACTTTGTACCACCCAAAAATGTTTCCATTAAAAATAGACCTCTGCAAATAAGCTATCATCTTCAGCTAGTATGTTATGAGCAAGATTCAAATAAAAAATATGAATAACAGGAGGAATATAATCAAGCAATGATAGCACACCAATGTATTTAGCCTCTTGTATGATTTTTCTCCCATCAAAAAGTGGATTTAGTACAACTAATTCCTTGAAGGTTTCAGGCTTCTCCTTATTATAGCGAAGCCACTGTATTTGTAGCCATTTCATTTTATCATCATTTGTGAGTGTCAAAAGTGAGTGTCCAAGAAAGTCCTTAGGGTCTCTCCGTCAGTGGAACATAGACTCTCACTGGGAAGACGCTGCTGATCCACCCTCAGATCGGAGAGTTCGGTCGGAGTCGGATCTTTGGAGAGTGTATGATGGAGCTTAGCTGCAGCGGACATGTATTCCACGCTGTCACAGTAGGCTCTCCAAGAGCTCATCTTTGATCTCTTAATTAGATACTTGTATTCCCTCTGAGCCTCTTTAAATGAATACCAGTGGCCAGGCCAACCAGTCCTCTTGGATTTATTAAAGAGACTTTCAGTCAGCCTAAGCTGTCTTTCTACCAGAGCCAGGGAATAGCATAACCAGCAGTCTTCTGGTCTACAAGAAGGCAGCTAACTTCATATGCCGAGGTCTGGGATCGTATGCTTCATATGCATGAGGTTATGGTTGCGCTCCTCTCAAAGGAGTTCCCAGTTTGTAGCTCGTGGATTCCTATATGAAATATACTGGAGCTTAAGAGCCTCTAGCTTAACAAGAATATGCCTCTGATCTGACAGCGAGACCTCATCAGACACGACCCACTCCGACACCAGTAATTTATTTAATTGAATATTTAATGATATTTTCACACACAAAGATAGGAAGCGATTAATTAAAGACTATATTTAACAAGTTGATACCTCCGTAGCTTTCTGACTGTATGTTATCAATATTTTTCTAATCTCTTTAACATCATTGTTTACACATTTTTATATTTTTGTTTCCTGCTGGTAAACATAAAATAAGATTCTAGTTAATTACAGGTTTTAGTCATAAACATTTTCTACGACAATATTAATACTTACATTGTTCTATTTTATGCATAATTATGAAAATATTTAATGATGAATAGGTATCTACGATTAAAATATATCTATTTTTAGTCAGTATAGTTTTCTGCTTAGAATATACAAACAGTAAGTATTGTCGAGGTATTTTAATATATTTTTTTTGTAAAATATATAAAAGTCTATATACAATAGTAGTTATTTTCTTCTAAGGAATCTCTTTGTTTATTTCAAGCGAAACGCATAGTGTGGTTATGACTCTTTTTCTGTACCTTTTCTCGTCTTCCAATTCTTTCACACCCTTTTCACACTTTTTTTTCGTTTTTTCAGGTCTATATTTGAATATTTCCACTAAACTCTATGTTTATTTTCCTATGCGTGTTTACATATCTGAGATCTATCATATTCTCTATTTTTAATGTTAACTTATTTCAATAGTAAATAATCTTGATGTTCCGCCTAAATATAAATTCACAAAGTATTTTATAAGTACAATTCTTTGTTCTTTCTTGTTCGTTGTTAGGTTTAGTATTAAATAAAAAATACCTGAATTTGTTTTTTGTTTTAAATGCTGCATTTCTTTCCTATCGTTTTAAGTTTTTCCAATAATCCTTTTATGTATGGTATTGTTATTTTCCTCGTATTATTCCTTGTGTATGCTGTAGGATCTCGTTCTAAGTTGTTCTGTTCTATTCGGTCGATTGTTGAAAATTCCTTATTTATAAACGACAAAGGATAATCATTTTTTAATAAAACGGATGTCAAAAATGTTTCTCCTATAAGAACGAATTTTCGTTAGAACAAGTAATTTTGGCTCTATCATATAAGAATTGTATGATTCCCTTCTTAATATTGATGGTTGGTGTGTGTTCATTTTCTATACACCTGAGCCTCATATCCAGTATCGTTCTTAGAGATTAAAACATCCAGGAAAGGTAGCGTGTTATTATATCCCTTTTCGTTAATATTGTTTATATTATTAAGGAATGTGTCCAATAACTGATCAATCTGATACCTCACGTTTTCAACAGCTGACAACCTTAATTTGCGACCATTTTTTCTCAAGCAACCTTATATCATCATATTAAGAAAAAAATTAGCTTTAATTTTGTATAAGTGTGATCTTGTACTATTGGGATGAGATTGGGTGGGAAATTGATGTCTGTGGATGCTCTTATTGATGTAATTTTTGTGGTAACTGTTTCGGATGAGGACTTGCTGAGCGGATCTACTTGCATCATCGCAAAGGCGTATTGATCTGGAGACAAGGGTATTAATGACTGAATTAATTTGTGAATGTGGATGATGAGAGTTGGCATGCAAGTAACGATTTGTATGGGTGGATTTTCGATAAACGGAGTGATGAAAACCTTGGGATTGGTGTTTATTTATGATAACGTCGAGAAACGGTATTTTGTAAGTTTGAGCATTTATGTGGATAGTGCTCGGATCTGGAAGTCTTCCATAAAGATATTAACAATTACTGGAGATAGTGGGGAGCCCATTGGGGCACCATTTATTTGTCTGTAAAATTGATTTTGGAAGATAGAATAAATGAAGATACGTGGTCTTGCTGGATACTGTATTGAGTTTTTAGAATGTTTAGAGTTTCATCTATATGAATGTTTGTAAAGAGAAAACGATATGTAAACTTACTATAATGTTTGACGGTGAGATAGGGTATTGTTTAAGAAGTTCGATAAAGTGAAAAGAATGTTTGATAAAGAAAGAAGCATTTTGTAGATGAGTGGTTGTGTATGACAGTTGTATGCACTGACAATGGGACGTAGAGGAATATCGAGTTTGTGAACTTTTAGTAGACCATATATTCGAGGTGTTCTGGAAGACTTTTCATGAGAAATTAGAGATTGTTTTATGCCAACAGCAAGAGAGTTTTTATTAATAATGGCTTTTGTTTTCTCTAGATATGTTGTTAGATTAAAAACCGGTCTGTAGCCTGGAGTATTAATGAAATTTGAGAGTTGAGAGTCCTTTATAGGAGAGAACAATGCCTAGATTTGGATTTGACTGAAGATCTTTTAGGGTTTTTTTCTTGGATTGGCTAATTTTCGGAGTAGGAGATTTTGAGTTTCTAAGAAGTCTAGCAATGTCTCGTCTAGTTATTTCAGCATCTCGGGAAGGTAAACTAGAGAGGATTTCTTCAGTATGACAGATGATTGTTTCAATTGGAATGTGACTTGCGATAACAGAATAATTGAAACCTTTTTCTAAAGCTTGAGTGGCAATGGTCGAAATAGAGCCAACAGAAAAGTTGTGAACCACTGTAGTGGGTTTCAAAGTTGTAGGTTTTGGAATTTGTCGCCAATTAGATGCATTAATTTGCGCTTCTCAGTTTCAGTCTTAGATTCGAAAGTGTTTAGGGCTGTCTTTGTGTGAAACTGTCCCATAATATAGGATGTACATTGAAAGAATGAATAGATATTGAAAATATTGATATTTGTGACATCTAGTTACGTCTAGTGGAATGAATAGCTTCACGGGGAAGCACAAAACTGGTCTTTCTAAGAATTTGGAAGGTAAAGAAGAAGTATGGTGTTTGAGTTTTAGAAAATTGGGAATTACTTTATGGTCTTGGTAGGCTTTAAGGAATCTTAGATAACAAAGAAGACGATTCTTACGTAGCAGTAGATTGTTATGATTTAGTGAGCTGGTAAAATTACCCCGTAGATGCGAATAAGATATAGCTCGGCGCAGTGATAATCGACGCGGTTAAGCCTGTTGAGCTTAATATTAATTCTTGTAATACTATTAACCTTAGCTTTAGGTTTAATTGCAGAAACCGCGAAAATCTTAGATAATCGGACTTCTACTGTACTCTAAATTCTTCTTTGTTGTGGATTGGACAGACATCAATTTGTTATTTTCTTCGATAAGTTTTGCTGGTGTTTTGTGTTTATAAATATGTGTTATTACTTTGGTCTTTTTATGTATATAAAAGCTTATATTATTGGCCTTTGAGAAACTTCATCAATTACAGAAAACGACACGCAATCAACGAACTTTTAGTTACAAAAAGAGAAAAAATGATATAGTCACACAATTAATGACAATATTTAGTGTAATTGTCATGAATTTTCTGGAATAAGTATGGAAAAAGTAAATACATAAATAGATGGAATATTCAATGGTCCTATGAATTTTTTTTGAAAATATTTTTTCCAATTATAATATTCTTAGTTTTAATATGAATATTAAAGTTTTGTGTTAAATCCTCTAGGGATTTAAGGATAGGCATAGAATTTTCGATGGTAGACAATATACGTAGACAGTATTCCCGTATTACATAACAAAATCGGAAGTTACTCAATTCATTTCCTTAAAAACCGTCCTTGTAAAAGACAAAGAACAATATTTTAATTTTTTAAGAATCAATAGGGTATAAATTGGGTTAGAACATGCACTTCAACGGCTGCTCTTTATGTCTACTTATTAGATTAAATTTAAGTAGATTACAAAACCTGCAGTATACCATGAGATTGTGTGTTGGAAGTTACATAGTTTGCGTGTTTTTTAGCAAAAAATCGTAGACGATGCCTCCCAAAAATGATCCAGAAATTTTGGCGTTGAAGAAGGAAGTGGAGGAGCTTTATAAGAAGTTACAGGTAAGTACTTTGAATATCAAAATAGTATAACCTAAAAAAATATGTTTTGTTTTATTTATTTTATAATGCATAGGATCAATATATAAATTTATAAATTTTAGTCACGCAAATAAGCTTCACAATAACTATTCAAATCATAATATATATATATATATATATATATATATATATATATATATATATATATATATAATATATATATATAGTGGAAATGCCTCTTAAATGGATAGTCCGAATTATACAAAAATAGGGATACACCTATTGTACAATATGAAGATTTGAAATTTGATGTTTTTAACGTTGCCAGATTTGTCGTTTGTCTGATATCATTAGTCACCTTGACTTTAAATACATAATAACATTACCTTAACCTTATGTTTGTTAATTATAATTCCATTTGTTGCTAAATAAGTATGTCATAAATGTATTGAAGTTGTATGCATTATTGCCACGTCACTAGCAAAACAAACATACATTAAAATCAACTGTTCCAAAATTACGGTATCCTATGCTTAATTGTTTCGCTCTCTGCTTCACTTTCTTAATTAGATCTCCTTCTTGTCTCTCTGCTTTGTTGGTGATGAACAGTTCTGATCTTACATGTTTATGACACAGTTGTTGTCTCTTTTTAAAAGCTTTGTATGTATTTTTATTCCTGGCTATATTTGATGTACCATAAAAGATCCTGCCATATCAAATATAGCCATCAAGTGGTGTCATCAAACCGTTGGATGAGTAAAAATCCCATAACCAAAAAATCATTAACTTTTTCTCTCTTTTTAAAAAGTGATTTTTTGCCCCATCTTTCGTCCTCCCTTTTATTAAGTGTTCTGCCCATCTACGTTGTAATCAGTTAGCTCCGTCATTTCCTTTCCTTCCCTGCACTTCTTCTTCTTCTTTTTATGTAGACATGGCTCTATCTGATTTTCAATTTGCCTCCAGTAAGTTGTCGTTCCATCGTTTTCGTGGTCTTCCTACTGATCGTTTTCCTATTGGGGAACCGTCTCTTGCCGTCTTTACTACTCTATTTGTTGTCATTTAGCTTATATGATCTTGATGTTCTTGATGTTCTCCACCTTGCATCTACGTTGTATATATGTACTTCTACCTCTGTCCCATGGTGGCTTGCCATCTATTTTTCTAAGTGTTTTCATCTTTGCTGTTTCTGTCAGGTCGTGTTCATTTCTTTTCCGATATTTTTATTAATCTATATTGTTTCAGTCAGGCAGCCTGTGGCTCTGTTTGCTCTATTCACTTGATGTTCCACTTCTGTTTCGAGCTTTCCGTAGCTAGATAATGTGATGCCTAGATATTTAAACTCCATCACTTGTTCTATTATCTGACCTTCCAGCTCCAATTTACATCTTAGTAAATTTGCTGTTGTAACCATGCATTTTCTCTTTTTTTGGACAAATTAACATGTTAAATTTTCTGGCGTTTACATTAAATTGGTGCAGCATACGTTGTAAATCGTCTTCACTTTGATACAGTATTATTGCGTCGTCTGCATAGCAGATTATGCTGCTTTTGAGTTGTTTTCCTTCCATTTGGTATCCTTTTTTCGTTTTTTTTTTGTAGATTTGGTATCCACTTTTACTTTTGTGTTGTTCTAGTAGATATTTTCGATCGTTTTGACTATTTCTAAAGGTATCTCTCTTGAATACAACAAGTGGATAACGTCCCTTAATTTGACCCGGTCAAATGCCTTTGTAAGGTCCACAAAATATAGATATGCCGGTTTGTTGTATTCTAATGATTTCCCTTGCACTTGCCTCATAATACATATAGCGTCGGTGCATAATCTTCCCGACCTGAAACCTTGTTGTTCTACAGCAAGTGTTATATTATTTCATTCAGTTTAGTTATCACTTTGGTTGTTAATTTTAGTGTTGTGTTTAATAAATTAATTCTTCTGTAATTTTCCGGGTCTGATTTGTCTCCCTTTTTGAAGAGAGGTATTAGGATGCTTGATCTCCATTCTTGAGAAATTCTGTTTTGTTCCAATATTTTTTGGATTAGTTTTAAAAGTTGTTTGGTCAAATCTGGTCCTCCGTACTTTAGGAGTTCGTTCGGTATTCTGTCCTCTCCTGTTGATTTTCTATTCTTTAATTTCCTTAATCTTTATTTACCTCTTCCTTTCCAATATTTATTTCTTCATTTGTCGTCACCTACATCTTGTACTCTTATATTATTGTGAATCCACGTATTTGTTATCGGGTCTCCACCTGCCTTCCTTTTTGACTTTTTTTGTTAACTTTTAATTATTATTTTACGATTTTTATAAGGACATAGAGGTCTTTTGGTTGACAGTAAATAAATGTTTATTTTTGCCTTCATCAAAATAAGAAACATTTATACCATGACCAGATACAGCAACTCAGTTACAGGAAACAAGCTTTTTGTAGTGACATTGAAAGCCAATAAATCAATTTGTATACCTTCCAGAGTTTTTATCCCTACCACTATTTTTCATATATTTTTCTCTGATACTACCTGGGAAATGAAGATGTTTGTCATCAAAGACATCAGTTATATTGCTGTTCTTTTTTCTCTCTATCTCTATAGTACCATCATTCCTTGTGGAGCATTGGGCGCTTCTGTGTTTTTAGATGAGTAATGTGAAATGGCTATCTTGGAAAAAGTTTAGGAAAGAAGTTTGAGAAAAAACAATCCTGGTGGTTTGGCTCTGGCTCCAATTAAGGAGAAGAACAAACTATAAACAAAGAATTTTATAGAAAACCCTAAGTAACAACATTCACAAAAATAACAATCGAGGAAGTTGCTCAAACACTCAAAAAATAAAAAAGATAAAGCAGTTGGACCATATGATATCACTGGGAAAATGGAAACAGCTTTGGGAGAGACCGGAAAAAGTTGGCTACCAGGTTTTTTTAATAAAATTATGAAAGTGACGCAAGTTCTAGCCAAAACTATTTTGTAACACCGTAAAAGTATGGGAGAGAGTAATTGACAGACGGTTACGTGAAAAAATCGTGAAAAATAGTGAAAACGACATAGAACAAAAACTGGAACAGTGGAGAAAAGCTCTTGACCAAAAAGATTTAAAACTTTAGGTAGGGCAAAAACTGAGTATTTTATTATTCATTTAATGATAAAGTTACTACAAATAAAATGAAATCTTTGGATGGTGAAATGATTACGAAAAGTAATAATGTTAAGTACCTAGGTCCGGTATTAAAAATAATGAAATGAAGATGTATGCAGTAGAGTTAGAACGGGATGGAGGAAATGAAAGGGGGCGTGTGGTGTGTTATTTGACAGAAAAATTTACCTATCAATTATAATTATCTATCTACTACCTATCTAAAAATTCTACATATAAAGCGCCTTCTTCTTCTTCAAGTGCCCTGTCCGTTGCGAACGTTGGCTATTAACATGGCAATTTTGATCTTGTTTGCGGCGCTTCTGAATAGTTCGACCGATGTGAGCCCGAACCACTTCCGCAAATTTTGGAGCCACGAGTGTCTTCTCCTGCCTGGCCCTCGCTTACTGTCTATTTTTCCCTGGACAATCAATTGTAGCAGACGGTACTTATCGTGTCTCAATATGTGGCCTAGATATTCAAGCTTTCTTTGTTTAATTGTATTCACGATTTCTTTCTCGTTTCCGATTCTTTGGAGTACCTCTATGTTGGTGACATGTTCGGTCCAGGATATACGAAGAATGCGTCGGTACACCCACATTTCGAATGCTTCTAGTTTTCTCGTTAGCGTCTCCGTCAGCGTACAGGCCTCCACGCCATACAGCAAGATCGGAAAAATGTAGCATTTAACTATACGTAGTTTTAGGGGAAGAGACAAATCCCTTCTTATAAGGAGCTTTTTCATATTGCTAAATGCTGCTCTAGCTCGTTCTATTCTCGCCTTAATTTCTATGGTCTGTTCCCATTTTGCATTTACGTTGTTGCCAAGGTACACATAAGATTCTACATGGTCAATTAATATGTTACTTATCCGTAATTGTCGAGCAGGTTGTTGCTTTTTGCTTATCAGCATCCACTTTGTCTTCTTGAAGTTGAGGCTCAGGCCGTATTCCTCACTAACTGAATAAAGTCTTTCCATTACTTGTTGTAATTCGTCTATGGTACTGGTAAGGATCACCGTGTCGTCGGCGTATCTTATATTGTTCGTTAACTCGCCGTTTATTTTAATGCCCTCATTTGCATTTTCCATACATTTGTTAAATATTTCCTCGGAATACATATTGAATAGGAGTGGGGATAATATACACCCCTGACGGACACCTCTTTTGATCTGCACGCTTTCAGTGAGTTCGTTGCCAATTTTTGCTCTTGCTGTTTGACTCCAGTATAGGTTTGCCACAATTCGAATGTCCTTGTCGTCAATACCTGTCTTTCGCAGAATACCTATCAATTGTTCATGATTGACATTGTCAAATGCTTTTCTAAAATCTACAAAGCACAGATACACGTCTTTATCAACGTCTCTACACCGTTGTATAAGCACCTGGAGAGCGAAAATTGCTTCTCTAGTTCCAAGTGCTTTCCGAAAACCAAACTAAAAGCGCCTATTATCTAAAAATTTACCTATCAATTAAAAATTTAATTTTTAAAAATTTAACCTTGTGTAATAAAGATCAAATACAGCATTCATGAGTTTACCTTCTAATTGTTCGTTATTCTGTGGTGCTACTTAGTTTAGAGCTCTTCCGCCACACAGTCACTGAGCGCTGAAGCACATATCTTCTGGGTATTATATATAGTAAATTTAATTCCTAATTGGACGTTATTAGATATGTTAGAAAATTTGTAAGACGACGTAGGCCATGTTGTTTCAAGAAAGTTTTATCCTCCAAGATAATTGTCCTGTTCACACTGCAAATATAATAAACCAGTGGCTCCAGAAAAACAACATCGAAACTTTACCATGGCCCAGCTACAGTCCAGATTTAAACCCAATCGAGAATGTGTTGGGGGTTAATATAAAGCGGTTGTATCTGCGTAATTTTATACCTCAAAATGCCGAAGAGCTGAGACACTGTTTACAACAAGTTTGGGAAAAGCCCTCTGAAGAGTCTGAAGAATACAATTTCATAGTTCCTTTCACGCAGATGGACCAAAGACTACAAAATGTTATCAATGCTGATGGAGACATTATAAAATATTAATATTATTTTTACATACCTAAATTTAGTATAGTTTTGGTCTTCCAGACCCTCGCTTTCTTTCGAGAGTTTCTTGTTCCTATTATTTTTAATAATAGAAAAACTGTGGTTCTTGCTTAAGTTAAAATGTTTTGGTGCCTCTGATAGTGCCCAGTTATCTTTTAATTTGGTTACAATTCTTGCTTTATTATATTGTTAAGTCGTTTGTATTATTCCTTAATAATAATAAAAATAATACCAACAACCCTATTTTATGTAAAAACTATCATTTATATACTTTTTATAAAATGCAGGTATTAAAAAAAATATCAAAATTTAGACCTTAATAATTATAACAATTTATGAATTAACATAATTGTTTGTTGTTTGTTTGTTTATTTTATTATTTATCTGTCATATTAAATAAAATATAATGTCAAACCATTCAAATACACTGCTCAAAATGATCAAATCTTATTAAGAGTCGTATCAGTTTTTTTTAGGAACCAGCTGTACATTATCACTTTCTCATTTTTAGGAAGACCAGAAAAAAGTCGCAGATACCAGCTTAGAAAAAATATGCGACGGTGTAGCTGCGGCGCCCAAAGTCAAATTAGTCACCCGAAAACTGATGAAGGGGCATTTGAATAAGGTGAACTCCGTTCATTACAGTGGAGACAGCCGCCATTGTGTCACTGGGTCTTTAGATGGAAAACTCATCATTTGGGATACTTACACGGGCAACAAAATGCAGATTATTCCGTTGAGGTCCGCTTGGGTAATGAGTGTTGCGTTTTCTAATTCAGGAAATTTTGTTGGTAAGTTTAATTCTTTAAATAGTCTCCATAGTAGCCAACTTTGGCTTTCTGTTAGTTTTATCTATATCCTAATCTTAAAAATTTTACTTTAAAATGTTTTGAATGATATGTGAAGGGAACAAGATAATTTGAGAAAGTTTCTAGTAAATTCCATAAGATACAGAAAAATGTTGACGATGTAGAAGATAAGATCAAACAATTAAATAGCATGATAACCAATTCAAAAGTGCTACCACCAATTAATGCAGTAGTTTTTCATCCTATAGTAAAAGAAGAATCATCGAAAGACGAAAAAACACATCATATGAGATTCAACTTGCCATCATTCGATGGAATCCAATCATCAAAAAAGGCTGTTTCCTTCACTGCTGCTTTACGAGGTGATACTGCGAATATTCTAAGATCGATTCCTAAAGATCAGAAAAATGTTACGGGACCTTGTTCACTAGACTAGAAAAACGCTATGAAGATGTTTATCTACAACAAGTCTACAAGCACAACTAAGAATAGAATTTAATGAGCAAGTGAGAATTTGTAAGAATTTGAAGCATGTGTTGCTCGTATAGTGCTCTTGGCTTATCCGGAGGTACGAGGCACTAGACAACATTTTGAAAGAAATTGCTGTAGATACCTCAATTTGTTCTGTAGTCAATTTGTTGAAAGAGACTGACATATAAAAAGCTTTAGATGAAGCGCTTGCTATTACCTTGGAACACGAAACAGCTAATCAAACTTCACGGAGCCATCGAGTACGAACCATTGACGAAGGCGACGAACAAAATGATGAAGATCTGGAGAAAATGGTACGAAACGTGGTTCGCAACACGATGCCGAAAAGATGCTAGCTCAGATGTTGGAATTGTGGCGACGTAGGCCACATTTGCCGTAATTGCAAGACCATAATACAATAGTCGGAAAACTAAAACGGGTCGATACTAAGGGCAACTGTCGATATTGAAAATTAAAGCATCCATAGCAACTGTTAACATTACGTAATCCGGTGGAATTCATAGCTTGTACATCGAGGGTGGTATCAAATGTAGATCATTTTTGGTAGATACGTGTGCAACAAGAAGTATTACATGTCCAGAAGTAGTACAAAGCCATCTTAAATTGTCGCCTGCAACAGTAAGGGTTAGAACAGCAACTGGTGAACTAATTAATAAATATGGCGAGGCTAATATGTCAGTGCCATTGGTCAGACCAAAGTTAAACACCAAGTATTAATTTCCAAAATCTCCTACAAGTGCATATTGGGAATGAACTTACTTAGAAAAGTTAGGGCTGCATTGAATGTTAAAAATGGAGTTCTCGAGACAATGGTGAAGAGTTTACCTTTCACCAAAGACAAAGAAGATATTATCCGCTTTCTAACTCCATTCGACGTAACAATTCCCGGTAATAGTTAGCAAATTGTGATGACAAGACTTGATGGTCACTGCCAAGAGGGAAGTTTAAGGATGGTTGAAGATGTGGACAATGCCGAGTTCCTAACGACAAAAGCTTTGGTGAGAGTTCGAAATGTCAATCTTGTGAGAGTTATAATTTAAAGGAAACTGCTATTAAGTTAAGTAGAGGAACTTTGGTTGCATACTGTATTCTCATGGCTTCGATTTGTTCTATGAATACCAATGAGAAATTCTCGAAATCGAAGTATCCAAAGGAACTTGTTGAGATGGTCATTAAAACGTACTAAAGTTTTGATTTGATGATAAATGAACGAAAAAAGTCTATGCTGACAGGATGAGATGTTTTTGCTATTTATAAGAAGGATAAGTGCATTTATTTAAAATCGTTACAATATTATATTTTTTAACAAACCAAATGAAATAGTAGATTTGAAAAAAAGAATTAACTATTAAATAGTGTTTTTTGCAAAAAATGAACAATATTTTGAGATAAAAAGTTGTCGAAACACAAAACAAGACAACAGTAGGTCTACTATATGCTTTAGTCTAACTATCCTTATAAAAAGATAGAAAGAATAGAAAAGTCAGAGGCTTAAGAAATAAAAAAAACATACGAATGAATGATTCGTATGTTTTTTATTTCTTAAGCCTCCGATCTTTACATTTACTAATTTTTTGTATTTTTATCTAGCTGTTAAGTTCATGAACACTTCTTCTTGCAGCTTGTGGCGGTATGGATAATATGTGTACCATTTATGACTTAAACAATAGAGATGCAAATGGTGTAGCGAAAATGGTAAGGGAATTGGCTGGATATGACGGTTTCCTGAGTTCTTGTAGATTTTTAAGCGACAAATCTCTCATCACTGGATCTGGCGATATGAAAATGTGAGTATAATAGAATAAAGGTCCACTTAGACTAATATTATAATCCTTAAAAATTATTCCTTACTACTTACTTTATACCATTTACCTATAACTCTATGTAAATACAACTTATGACTAATATTAGATTTCCAAAGACCTCCAAAGTATGGTGTATTTGGTGATTTAATATTGAAGCCATTAAGTTGCATTTACATAGAGTTATACGTGAATCTATTTTATCATTTGAAGAATATTCAACATTGTTAGCACAGATAGAAGCAACAATAAAGTTAATGGATAAAGAAGTCGTAAAATTGGAACAGAAGCCGACATTAAGTCAATTCAAGTAGGTCAACTCCAATTTTACGACTTTTTTATCCATTAAGATGTGCTCTATTGTTTAAAAATTCAAATAAACTGGATAAACTGGGCAATATTTTATCTGTTCGAGATTGCTCCCAATAGCGATTTGTATTTTTATCAAGTTTTAAAGAAACCATATGAACTATCACAGCATCCCAATGCTCACTGGGCGACTGTTATGTTTTTAATGCTCTAAGGTGCTTATTTACATAGTCAATTAACCCTCTTAACCCTACAGCTGATTCTTTAATTAAATTATTAAGTTTAAATAGATGTTTTAAATTATTGTTGACTAATAATCTTTTATTATCAAATCTATATAACTTCTATACTTTTTGTAGATGCAAATGGGATTTGGAGACCGGTAGGAAAACCTCAGATTTCGTTGCCCACAATGGCGATGTGGTATCAATTAGTCTAGCTCCAGACGGCAATACTTTCGTTACAGGAAGCGTGGATAAAACCTGTAGGTTGTGGGATATAAGGGAGGAGAAACCTAAACAGACATTTTTTGGACATCAGGCAGATGTCAATTCAGTTTGTGTAAGTTTACTTTGTTCAGAATTTTTAAGGATAGATAATAAATTTGGTAAAACCAACTATTTATATTTTTCAGTACCACCCCAGCGGCTATTGCTTCGCGACAGGCTCTGAAGATAAATCGGCGAGAATGTTCGACATCAGAAGTGATCAGCAAATAGCACTATATCAACCACCTTCAAATAATAGTGGCTTCACATCGTGTGGACTCTCACTTAGTGGAAGAATACTCTTGTGCGGATCTGACGACAACAACATACATATGTGGGATACGCTGAAAAATCAACACAACGGTAATAATTTTTTAATATTAAAAAATACAGAATGGACCAAAGTCTGGAAATGCCTAATTATCTCTTATATTCTTGCTTCAAGTGTTGCTTTACTGCTTCTAACCATTGCTTCTTTGGACGTCCTCTTCTTTTTTTTCCATTTCTCCCTCCTTCAGTATTGTTTTAACATTTCGATTCTTTGGCATTCGTATAATGTGATCAAGCCATCTAGCTCTTTGGCCTCATATTTTTGCCGTAATTGCTGGTTTTCCGTACATCCTCATTATTTCTTTATTCGTTCGTCTTATTTAAATACTCTCTGCCGTCTTTATTCCTCCGAAGATTTTCCTAAGCACCTTTCTTTTCCAGATCTCTACTTTCTTTTCTTTTTGCTGGTACATAATCCACGTTTCACTGGCATACATTAACTGTGAGTCTGATTACTGTCTCGTAGACTCGCAGTTTAGCTGTTCTTGACACATTTTTTGCTTTCAGTAATGAATTTAGTGACCCTATCGCTCTGCTTCCCTTCATTAATCTTTTGTCTATTTTTTTTCTTATTTTACTAATAGACGGTCTCTGCTCCTTTCGTTTTGATATATTTGTTATTATTTGTTAGATCTACTCTCATTTCCATGTATTGCGTTTTTGTTTGGTTAATTATTAATCCGTATCTTTTCGCTTCTTCTTCAAATTTCTGGAAAACTTTTTCTAAATGTTTTTTTGTTCTTGCTAGTATTACTACATCATCCGCGTACCCTATGCACTGTTCCCTGCTATTGAAAATACTCCTGTTTGTGCTCATATTTGATCTTCTCACGATTTGTTCTAATAGTAGGTTGAATAAATTTGTTGATAGCGAATCACCTTGTTTTAAACCTTTATTTACTGTGAACTGTCTTGAAAAGCTTCCTTCCATTGTTATACCTTTATAGTGCTATACCTCTATAGTTTTCCCACTCCGCTTTGTCTCCTTTTTTATAGATAGAACAAATAAGAGCGGTATTTCATTGTTTCGGCATTTCTTCCTTTTGCCAAATTAATAATGTAAAGTGAAATATCCTTTCCTTCAATCTTTCGCCACCTTCCTTAAAAATCTAAACTGGGATATCACTTCCACTTGCACTTTTGTTATTTTTCAGATCTCTTAGTATTTCTTTGACTTCATTTAAAGTTGATTCGTCGCACGTTCCTTCTTCACCTTCTTACCAATTCTCATTTCCCTCAAGTTCCTCTTGTTGGTCTGTATTTAATAGATCTTCGAAATATTCCGCCCATCTGTTTAATTTTTCTGTTGTTTCACCTAGAAGTAAGCCTCCTTTGTTTCTGAAATACTGTAAATTATTGTTTTTAGTTTCTCTGAATTTCTTAGCTTCTCTGGTAAAATTCGGTAGAAATTTTTTACCTCTTTGTTTATGTAGACTTCTTCTATGTTTTTCAATTGCTTTTCTAGCTGTTCTCTTTTCTTTTTTCTGCAAATTCTTTTCACTTCCCTTCTTCTTGCCACATAGTTTTCGATCGCATTTGGGTATTTTCTTTATCTCTTTGTAGTTTTGCCCTGTTTCTTCTTGCCAAATCATTCCTACATTCTTCATCAAACCAGTCTTGCCGTCTTTTTATATGCTCCCTTTCTATACACTTTTTCGCTGCTTCCGATATGGCTGTCTGTATGATCTGCCACTCTTCTTCTATATCCTGTTTGACTGAATTCTATCTCTACCAGGTTTTGGAATTATTGGTAGTTCTTGTTTATATGCTTATATCAAAGAAATTGTTATTTTCGTTGTAGAAGATATTCTAAATGCACTCTCATAACACAGACTTAAAGACGGTTTTCAAATGATCTACTTAGGCTTGTAAGCATTTGTAGCATAACATTATGAAATACGTTTCTTATTTTGATCTTCATCAATTGTTGTTGGAAGTTCACGGTACAGTAGATCTTTAATATAGCCCCAGAAGAAGAAGTCGACCTTACTTAATTCTGGTGGTCTACCTGGCTAGTAAATTGGTCGTTCTCTTCCTACCCACTTATAATGAGAACCAGCTGCACCATAATTATGGATGGATGTTAAGTGGTTTTGTTCAGTAAAATAGGCAAATGATTTTTTAAAAAGTCTAAATAAACCTCTCCGTTTACTGTTTCCTCAAACAAGAAAGGACCTATTACATTATGACATAAGATACCTATAGCCATGGTATGCAATCACTACACTAGTAATAAATATCTTAGAATTTAAACGTTGTATTGAATATAAAAAAATAAACTAAGAATTAACAAATGTTTGAAAAATTAAAACAGATTATTGACTGTCCAAATTTAATATCTGTGGTCGCTCAATTGTTGATCTAGTCCGAGGGGGAGACGAGAGTACAAGCTAACATCGCAGTATTATCTCAACAATTAAAGCAATCATTATAAAAAAAAATGATGCGTATCTGAAAATATCCGACTGAAGAACGTTTGCGACTGGACCAGGATGAATACAGAGATACTTTTAAGAAAAACAGAAGATAGAGATGAATTTGTAATGGTTATAGCCGACCTTAATTGGTACTAAAAGAAGAAGAATGCAGTGACATTTAACGCAGGTCTAATTGTCAGTGGATGATCTAAACATTGCCTTGCCGTGGGGGGGGGAACTTTAACTTGGAAACCTGAATGAAACACCAACCATACATAAAAGATATAAATAATGGGTTTTCTTTAATTTCGAACCTTCTTGGGAAGGGCAAGGTAATTTCCTCTTTCCCCGAGGTAATTATTAATTTTTTTGTGATTTTGATAGTAATTAGAACATGCCTATGTTGATCTAATGTATGTACTATATCTAATTATTTTTCAGGTACTCTATCTGGACACGACAATCGAGTAACGTCAATTTCAGTAGCTGAAAACGGAATAGCAATCGCTTCTTGCAGTTGGGACCAAACCGTTAGAGTTTGGGGATAATTATTTTGAAGCTGAATTAGAATAAATCATCCAGTTTCTACAGACAAGGATATTATTGTGTTCTTTATTTTGAATGCTCATATTTTACATAAGTACTTATTAATAATTTTTATTATATGTAATTGATTGATATGGAATATTCATCCTCGCCATTAAAAATAATTAATGTTTATCTGTACTTTTCGATTTACTTTCGTCGGTGATAATCTTACTTAAAAGATAAGCTTGCCATGAGTTCGCTCTGATGAGCCTAGAGGTAGAAATAAATGTGGATATCAGCGAACGGTTCATGACGATACTCGTGACGACTGCGTTTTGTGGCGCTAGTTCTGTGACGGTCACCTCAGCATTTCACTATATGGAAAAAAGTAAAATAGAACGCCAGTATAGAAGCTATAGAAGCTAAATTAAAATGCTAAAAGAATTACATATCATCACTAGAAGAGTTCTATTAGGTATGTTGTAAATAGATATATTACTTTGAGGGTGTTTGGTTTTAGGGAATATATAAGTAGTACTTACTTGCCTGTGCAAGGATTGTTGTTAAATAGGCGTGTACAGAACGCTTATTTATGCTATAATGTTATCAGTCGGTCTTCAACTTCACTACAAATTGAAAAATGTGGGATGTATCTTGAGGAGACAGGCGGGAAGCAACCTATGCTTATTATGATTAAAACAGAGTAATGTATTCAGACAAATAATAACATCAATTAACGTGTAATTAATTTTTCGACGTGTAATGAAGTTTAATACCTATAGACAACACTATAGCATATATTATGAGCGTTTTGTATACGCCTTCTTAACAACAATCCTTGCACAGGCATGTAAGTACTATTTATATACTTCCTATACTTCCTCAAACCATAAATAAGTAATATTGGGGCTATTTACAACATACCAGATAGAACTCTTTTAGTTACGATTTGTAATTGTTTTAACACTTTAAGTTAACCTGTCCGGAGGCCTGAAGATGACCAGCAAATTATAGTGGTCGAAACCGGTTGTCCTAGGCTTAATAAAATAGATTGTGAGTAAGTCTAAAATTTATTTCTACAACCCTGTTTGAAATGGACTCACATGTGTAACTCATTCATCATTTAAAGAAGACTTTGATATTATACGTTTTAATTTAGCCTCGTATTTAACAATGTTGACACAGCTAAACTTTATTATATCATCCTAATAGACACTTAAGGTTATTGAAACTAGAACCATTCGCTTAGTAGCAAGAAATTTCTAGTTCCTAAATTAAGAAAATATAAAGGAAGTTAAAAACTTATTTCCATATTACTTCATAGGCATGTTTAGGATTTTTTCATGTGGGTGCCCCGTTGTTTATTTAAAACATTTTAATTTAGGCGAATCAACTGTAACAGCAACTAAGAAGAATGAAGTTGCTATAAGTTCTTATATGTTCTTATATTACATAAGAAAATCCACCATTTCTGGTACAAAATTAAACGCCAAATTTGCATCTTCAAGGTATGCATGATAAGAAAGAACTGAAAGAGCAATCGCATGTTGAATTGAGGAATTCCTGTAAGTGGTTATTTAATCCAAGAAAAAGTCCTATAGTTTTAAGAGTTAATGAAAGAGTCAGAGCCATCAACTTCCACTTCCCAAGTTGGTAGAGAATTTTCAGCTAGCAAATGATGGATAACCGGGTTTATAAAAAGAAATGCACTTCATAATATCAAGGTTACAGGAGAGAGTGCAGCAGCAGCAAAAATATTTCCACAGGAGCTAGCGAAAATTATTGAAGATGGGGATTATTGTGCCGATACACCTACTTACATCGCAAAGGATGAAAAAACTGCAAGTGGACATAAAGCAAGTAAAGATTAAGTAAAATTATTACATACTTTGTAGCAATACATCCGGAGATAAGATGTTGAAACCGCTCTTAATAAATAAATCTCTTAAACCACGTACTTTAAAAGGCAAAGAATTCAAACAACTGCCAGGATTTTGGATGGCTAACAAGAAAGCCTGGGTGACAACAACTATTTTTACAAAATGATTTAATAAATTTTTCGTGCCAGTAATAGAAGTCTATATGAAGGGAAAATCTCTCGATTTTAAACTTTTATTAATTATTGACAATACAGCAGGTCATCCACACTTAGAACATCCAAACGTTAAAATAGTATTTCTTCAGACTATCACAACAAGCCTTATTCAGTCATTAGAGTAAGGCATAAAATTGCAACGTTTAAAAAATATTACATAAAGGCAACTTACAAACCCATCGTGAGTAAACTAGAAAATGAGCCCTTAACAGTAAAAGACGTGTGGAAGCAATTTTCTTTTTGTAATTGTTTGATTCATGTTGCATCTGCTTCCGTTCAAATAAGACCAAGAACTTTAAATACCTGTTGAAAAAAGGTTTGGCCAGCATGTGTAACAAGCAATGTAATCATTTTAAACATCCACACTTTCAAAGGAAATAATTAATTTGGTACATGAAATTGGCGGAGATGGTTTTATTCCTTCAGCCACAATGATATAGATGAATTACTCGTGGATGATGCATTAAGTGACCATGATATAATTGATCAAAATTTAAATGGCGTCGTGAGTCTAGAAGATAATAATGATGAAGAAGGAAAACCAAATCCCTCACTGCCAAATTAATTTGAGAAGGTCTTCAACTTTGCAGTAAATTAGAAAATCATTTTCTTATTAATGACCCCAATTTGAACAAGCTTTTAAATTACAACGTGAGCTACAGAACTGCATGTCACGATATCGTGAGCTACATAAAAAAATACTAACATCATCATCGTAAAGTTCAATTACTGATTACATTGTTAGAAAAGGAAGAGCTACACAGAACGAGAATGAAGTTTGTGAAAATCCATCGCCTTTACAGCAAATATCTATTGCAGACAGTTTCTTCTGACGAAGAAGATGATTTTAAACCACTTCGCAAACAAGATGATTTTAAACCACTTCGCAAACAGTGCAAACTATTATCAGATAGCGATAATAATTAAAAATGTAAATGTAAAACTATATGTACCTTTGCCTTTCCATAAAATACAATTAATTAAGTTTTGAATACAGGTTTTTTTAAGAAGACTACGGAACGTATCCCTACTTTTTCAAGGAAAGTAATGTTTTTTGTGCGATTTTATTATAAGCGGAACGTCTCAACCGCATAAAACGAGACCTTACTGTATACAAAACCTTAATATGATTCTCAGATATGGTCCTGAAACCTGGACACTCTCTAAAAGAGGAAAAAGATTATTGGCCATTTTTGAAAATAAAAAACATCTTGCGACATATATACAAACGCACATGGAATTTGGCGAAGAAGATACAACTATACAAAATATACTCGGATCCAGATATTGTTACATTTATTAAAATAGGACGGCTGCGTTGGATGGGACGTGTGGACAGAATGGAAGAACACGAAATACCAAACAAAATAAGAAAACAAGCGCCAGTAGGAAAAAGAACAAGAGGAAGACCGAAGTTGAGGTAGATAGGACAAATAGAAAAAGATATAACAACCTTAAAAAAGCACGAAATGGATCAAAATGAACAAGAGCCTGGAATAGGCCAGGACCCAAAAAGGATTGTCAATTCAGTGATAATTATTTTAATGATATTTGCGCCATAGCCATTCGTGGGAATTAATTTTAACAAGTTTTTTTATATTTTTAGACGAATAATACCTCATTTCACCACGGCACCCACGTTAAACACGCCTATGTATTACTTATTGTATTATGGTATTATAACGCAGTGAAATTAATTTGTATAAGGCGTACAACTTTTTAATTGATCACAAAAACTACGGACAATTCGGTGGCTCGGTTACACTAATTTGATTTCCGTGGTGAAAATAACAGATTAAACCATTGTGTTACCTAATTTTTTGGTTGAATAGTTTTACAAGATTGGACTGAACTTTTACTCAGATTTGAGTTATTTAATCAGTCGTCGATTTGTTCTTATCTGGGAAGGACAAGAATGTTCAGGTTGTTTGTTTGTTTCTGTTTGTGTCTTTTTAACGTCAAATGTACAGGTAAGAAAATAAATATATAAAAGTTTTTTATATTCTGGTGAATTTTGTACTGATATGTAAGAAATACAGAGATACGAGCTCTAACAACTATATTATAGGACAAATTAAAATATATAAACAAATTCAGACGTTTGACTGTTAATTTATTATTTATTTTTTAATAGCTATGATATTATTACTAAATAAGCAATATTTTAAATGATATATAATCATAAAACCTAATTAATATTGTGTTATATAACATTAATCATCATCAACCTGTAAGGTACCTCTGCTGGACATAGGTCTCCCTCAGTTCTTTCCATCTGTCTCTGTCTTGTGTGGCTTGCATCCAGTTACTTTTTTACATCTTTAAAGAGAAGAAGGAAAATCTGCATACCGATACATGTGACTCACCCAGATAGTGTTGGGTTTCTAATCCACACTAAGTTGTGCCGATATGCTCGAGAGAGTTAGACCTTTGAAACATCGTCCTGTTACCACTCCGAGACTGTCGGCTAGAAACCGAACTAAAAACCTATCCTCTCTCATTCCATATGGGAGGGCTGGTTCAACCAAAACATCTCTTCTGATTCCCTGCTATCACCCGATTCGAATTTTTTCTCGCATACATTCATTGGGAAAACCACCCCCATTTCTCCGCCATTTCTCTCGCGTCGTCTGTCTCTGATTCACTCATATTTCGGCCTGTGACAGTCCGAACCCCACCAAGGTGCTCCTCGCTCGTTTCAGAATTCTGTTGTGAGTTCCCTCTCCTCTCGTTTTTTTTAGGAGAGCAGCTCCCTGATAAATTTGTGGATTCGTGTCCACCACCACTCATCCCTCATCATTTTCTCCACCATTTCCCTCACGGAATCAAACGTTCTGAAGTTACATTCTCTTTCAAACTTCTTTCTTTCATCCACCCAAGCTTACACTCCAACATCGTGTGTGTCACAGTATACGAAAGACCACAGTAAAGGCATTGATCGAACTGTACCCTACTGAACCTGAAAAGGTAGCTAAGCAACCACACATGGCCTGTGAACATTTATGTCAGTTACTGTTAACACGCTTCAAGTCGTGAGTACATCTAGTTGATGGGCGTCCTCTGCTCCGTATTGCTTCTTGGCTTGATCTCCACTCTA